CTGCCTGTGTCCTTGGGCAAGACACTTTATCTGCATCTGCCTCTCTTTACGCAGGAGTATTTATGGGTACCTGGTAGAAAGTGAATGATTCAGAATGAAATTTGGAGTGCTGATTACATGCATACCGTAACTAGGAATACTCGCAATGGAGCAAAGGAGGTATGATTTTCTCCGTATCCAATGAAGACGAAAAAAGCACCTTGAGAGGTTTTCTGCATAATTGTGTGCTATATAAATCCTATTAAATAAACAAACAAAACTAAACTGCAACGGTAGGAGGTGAATGATTCAGAATGAAATTTCGGGAGTGCTGATTATGCGCATACTGTAACTAGGTACGATTGTCTCCGTATCCAATGAAGAGAAAAAAAAGCACCTTGAGGTTTTCAGGATAATTGTGCAGTATATAAATCCTATTAAATAAACGAAATTGAACTGCAACAGCTACACCAAAAGGCTTGAACACTTATCTTTGGAAGGTGCTTTAAGTTATAAAACCTGAATATTATTAATTATTCTTACCTTATGATAAAAAATCCTCTATCTTCTAAGAGTTGAGAGTCTTTACAGAAGAGATCCAGCAAACTGATCATAAACTTTGTAAAGTAGATATTGGTACCCGGCACAGGCCGGTACTGGAGCCCCTCCTCAGATTGAGGCCCTGCTGGTGAGGATGCCACCTCAGACAGCACCTCCAGATCAAGCAGCACAACCTGGACATAAAGAACATCAACATTTGTTTAAAAGTGTCTTTGTGGATCATAAATGGAATAAAAATCACAGCATTGCATTTCTTCTATAAAACGAATATTTCCCATTAGTTGATAACACTCTGACCGCAAGGGGGTGGAAAAAGTAGTATCAGCAACCACCAGACATTTTAGCAAATTTTAATACTTTTCCAAAGCTCGTTGAGAGTGCGTATATGATCAGATTTGACATGTAGTGAATACTACAAGAACTACAAACATTTTACCATTACGATGGCAGCCCACGAATTTCACGTCGGCAATCGGCAATTGCCGACCATATTGCTACGAATGACGCTAGCCAACCAAGGCCTACAACATCACACAATTGAAGCCATGTGGGCCGTGTAGATCGTAATGCTTATCTAAATCTATTATTTGTCTTCACTTTACAGTATTATTATTGTCTTTCTCGCCTAGTCATTTCGTAGGCTATGGCCTAGGTAGGAATGACGCTAGCCAGCCAAGGCCTACAACATCGCACAATTGAAGACATGTGGGCCGCGTAGATCGTAATGCTTATCTAAATATATTATTTGTCTTCATTTTACAGTATTATTATCATATTTAAAATGTTCCTATCCTACCGTCCGTTTAAACGCAATCACGATCGCATCGTGACTTCACTACTGACGAGTACTGTACTGCCTGTGATGATACGAAAGTGATATTTCCCATGCCAAAGATAACGATAAAACGAACGCTAAAACGAAATTTATTATGTAAAACATATGTATTATATTACACTATTAAATTAATACAAGTACGACCATTCTTTCACCAGCAATATATTGATTTAATAGAGAAATTAACAAAATCACAATCTGTAGATGACGATGTAAGGTCGAGCGTTCGGAAAAATCATAGTTTATACTATATAGGCCTAGGTAGTAAAAAATTGCTGAGGCTGCCGACCTCGGAGAATTTAAGGTCGGCAAATTTTTGCCGACCTAACTTTTTCCTAATTTCATGGGCTGCAATGGTACCAAACACCTTATTCTAATCACAATCTGTGACCCGTAGCAGTAAAATGAAAATGACTCACTTTTGAAGATTTACGCAATTTCACACAACGAAGCTGAGATAATCCCGATTTTGTTAAAGTATCTATGCTAACGTAAACAAACAAATAGCGAAATACTTACGGTCCAGACTGAATATAGTGTTCAAAATGTTAGCACATGGTCGGTAATTAACCTATCTATCAGATTCCGTAAAAAAAACTTGAAACACGGACATCTCCGTGTTTAAGGGTCAAGCGTTGCAATACCAAACACGAAGATTTCCATGTTTGTTAACTATAACAACTCTTAGTATTTAAAAAACGTGTTCAATCAAAATCAAGAGAAACCGACTAAAATCGGGAGCTCTAGCTAACATATAGACATAAAAAAAAAAATAATTTAAAAAAAAAAAATTGTAGGTTTCTGCTTGTTAAAAAATGACTGGAAATTGTAAAATCACAAAAATAAAAGGCAGCGAAATATTTCAAATTGTTAAGTCGCAAAAATTTAGGGCTGTGAAAATAAAGGGCTTTGCAGTATTTAAATCAGTAATGTTGATAACGCTACCCTCAATTAGACCCTTTTAAATCAATATTGTTGTTAGCGCACCGCTAATCCTTGCATAAGAGTAAGACCCCTTTAAAGTCAATATTGCTCTTAATATTAACCTAAAAACATAAATATTTACAAAATAAAGAAAATATACTAATAGCTACTAGGTGGATGCCCTTAGCTAGAAGTTGCAATACCTCACTTTAATATATTGTTATTCTATGTAAAATCATTATATTTACACAATTTTTGAGACACTGTACAGGACAATAAAAAAAAAACCAAATAGCCATTAGACATGGTCAGGAGTTTACAACAACAATAGAAAGTGGTTTTCAATGCTGTACGTTTACATAAAACTATATCAAGTATATAGATAAACACATTAATAGAGTGTACATTGCAGTAGAATAATCATTAATCAAGTTGACTTACTTCATCTGATACATCTGATAATGTGTTTAGTAGCACAGGAAATATCTCCTTTACATGCTGAAAAATCTAATGATTAGGAAACGAAAACAAGTATGGTAAAAATAACATTTGAAATTCAAACAGATCTAAGCAATCATTTATCTGCGATGCAACATCATTTTTATAACACTAGCAGTATGAAAGATATACTGTCACCTATATATGTATACATTATATCATTAAGTTATTCTTTTTCAACTAAAATTTACTCTGATGTGATGCGAGTATCCGTTTTTTTTAAATATGACAAATCCAGATCCATAAAATTAGAACAAAAAAGGCTTTTTCTTGCCATTTTGTCATAAAATTGTCATAATCTTTGCATACCCTTACATTTTACAAGGATTTTCATAATAAAATGTCCATAAATAATTTTTTTTTAATATCTGTAACTTAATGAATGTTGGTTACTAATGTGATACTTCTTTTTGAGGTTTTCTATATTTTTTGATGGCAGTTCATCTTTGATAGAAATCTATAAAATGATATCGAAGATCTGATGATATCAGAATTATATCCAAATAAAATAAATAATTGTTGATGACTTGTGGTCACACCAAAAAATTGCTATCTAAAAAAAATCTTGTATGCATCACTACAATATATCAGCTGTCTCTTATCCACATCTAGATGTGTATAAGAGANGTTCAGCCCTGGTTCCCCCTAAATTTTTCAAAAATTAAAAAAATTGGAGAAAAAAAAAAAGAAAATTATATTAAAATTTTAAGTCGGAGAGCGCCATTTCCAGTCATCTAGAGGTGATGTGATCATAAATTTTCTTCCCTCAGCCTAAGCCATGGTGGGGCTGAGGTGGTATATACCCTCCACCTGTCAAAGTCTGTCCCTGGGCCGACTCTACTTCAAATTCTTGGATCCACCACTGTATATCTAACTAAATCTCTGTCCACTCTATCAAATTTTCTTTTACCAAAAACTCTTGTATGCTCATGTATAGTCATGATGTGCCCATATATGACCATGATGTGATTTCATCCTGACCATATTTAGGCATGTTTTTGTCTAAATAAATAAATAAATAAATAAATAAATGCGTTGTCTTTTATGCAGACATGGCCTAGGCTTTTGTTCCGTGTTCTTCCTTATTGCAAAATAATGTGATGTTAAATGAAAACGATAGCCAGGACAGGGCTATAGTTTAATAATGATGATAGTCAAAGGCCACAACTTATCTACAGTACCTTTCTTGGTGTTTTCAAATGAAGATGGTAGATCCACCTGAGTACAGCAATCTTGGTTTGCATTGGGGAATGTTGTAAGTGCTTGAGAAGAACTTCAACTACTGGTGCAATTTCTAGCCTCAAATTTGGTGGCAATGAACTGTTTCAAATTAAAAAGCTACATTAGAATATGGTACTCACTGGCAAGGAAAACAACAGAAATTTAAAAGGAAATGGAAGAAGATCTACATTTGAATAATTTTCTATAAGGCAAAATGTTATGGTCAAATACTTTTTGGAAGCTGATGAATTTATTCAATGTTATGAACAACAATATGCAATAATCAGCATCAGCGAAACCTTTTTAATTGCTCAAAATTTAAGCTGTTACTTAAAAAACAGGTAAAAACATTATAGGATTATGAAAATAAATATATGTAAAATGACAGTACAAAAATACATCTACAAAAAAACCAGCAAAAATAAATATTTAAAAAAAAGGCGTAGTAGTAGATGATTAATAATGTATCCAATATCTTATCAGGGGAAAAGTAGCATGAGCAATTCTTCTTGAAATAGATATGTGCAATATAAGAAAGAAAAACTGAAAAGAAACTAAATGTATAGCAGCGATTTGAATCCCAACCTCAATGTTTGGAGTCTGAATCGCAGCGTGTATGCAAACCACTCTCACAAATACCTTGACAGTTTAATGGAATTCATTTCTTTTTCCTTTTCAACTGGTTCTCCTTCATTGTTTTGTTCACTCTTCTCCTCTTTGAGATCCACTTTGTCTTTCTTCTCATCTTTGCTATTCTCTTCATCTTTGTCATCTTCCGTTGTCACTAATCTCATCAGGTTCTGGTTGACGGACTTGGCAACCTCTTTAACACGTGCAACGATGACGGTGAAGGAGAAACAAACAACAAAAACGAGAAACAAAGACATTCTACAAAGACTTTTAGAAACATTTCTATGCACTACTTTATCATTAGTTTTCAAATGGATTGTTATAAAAAAATATATGCACATTTTTTTTAAATGAAAATAATAAAAAATATTAACACTATATCAATAAAAGTTATGTAACATGCCTTCTTTTTTATAGTTTTTTATTATCATATTGTTCTTGTGGATGCACTATTAATAATTTTTGGCAGCTATTTTAAAAGCCTAGAATCCGAATTAATTGGCTGATTTCATGATTAAAAAAATAATACAATAATTACAATGAAAATAATATCAAAAATAAAAATAATGATGGAATTATAACCAATTTAATATAATAATAATTATTATTATTATTATTATTTCTCTAAATCTAAATTAATTGGCTGATTTCATGATTTAAAAAAATAATACAATAATTACAATGAAAATAATACCACAATATAAATGAATAACCATTAACCTTTAACAAAAAAAATAAATAAAAATAATAAAAATAATGATGGAATCATAACCAATTTAAAATAATAATAATAATAATAATAACAATAATAATAATAATAATAATAATAATAATAATAATAATAATAATAATAATAATAATAATAATTTCTCTAAATCGGAATTAAGGGGAATACCTTTTGTGTTATTTTCCCCTTAATGTCATGTTCATTTCTCCTTACGTCGTATTTTTAATTGTTCTCTATTTTCTCCATTGTCTAAGTTCCACGTAAGGTAGGTTTTAGTAACATAATAATAATAATAATGAACATCCATAAACAATATTCCAAAGATAAATCATCCAAACTATGTAAATTTACATGTAATATAATACTTGTTTGATATATTACAATGCATTATCATAATTTCCAAATCCCCTTGTTATACACATGAAGGATATTATCTCGTCCCTCGGTAGCGAGGCAGGGCAGGACAGCCGTTAGGAGACTTGACGCAAAGAACAACATTGAACGACCAGCAATATTAACAAAATCACGAAGCCATGTGATGGCAGTCAATTGGATCAACTCAACTGAAAGTAACAAAAATAGGTTATCAGGTTAGGTTTATCAATTACAGCTGAAACTAAGTTACAACAATAATATAGAGTAAAGAAACAAAAGAGGGCTATATGATTATGAATATTCATATTATAATTATATTCTAATGAAGTTAAGTAATTATAATGAAGTTTAGCCACTGACCTGATGACTGACTATGGAATGTGAGAATGTTGACCATAGATGAAAAGTCTACACCACTTGGGGACCTTTTAATCTCTTGTAAGAAGGCATCAAGCTGGTATTCACACCTGAAGAAGATGTGTTATTAGATTTTGTAATTATTATATGGAAATCTTAATGTCAACCTTTGACCTAAGAACTACACTAATATTCCATCAGAGTATATGTGAGTGCATGTATATATGTTAGTAAAAACCTGTTGCAAACATTTTCAGAGTTAAATTTTACTGTAGGCTGAAGGGTAGGACAGTCTTTTAATAACCTAATTTTCCTCTTTAATTTATCAATTAAGGGTCTGATATTATAATTTAGAATGAAAATCATACATTTTTCGAATTTCTTTGTTTTGATCTCCCAGCATCAGGAACATGCCATCCAGTATCTCTTGCAGAAACTCCAGCATATTGATGTCTGGCACAGAATCTAGTGTAGTGACCTTAGAAATAACAAAAAATATAATAAAATATTAGTAATGAGGAAGGACATGTTTATTATAATTTTATTCAAGCCAATTTGAACAAAACAAAATTGCATTGCAAGAGGAAGTATTGACTACTAGTCCAAACACTGGAGTTATTTTATCTTTCAAAATAATATGTGTTTTTATCAGGAAAATCAATGAAGTACATTTTTTAAACCTCTCAAAATATTTCTGATGTTAAAAAAAAGTGGTGTAGACAGTGGTAATATAATCATTTCTATTGGCCTTAAGATGAGGCAAATCTAAAAACACAATCTTCTAAAATACTCTCCTAATTCCCATCCTTTAGCTAAGGCAGAGACAACGAAGGCAGTTTCAATGAACGGAAGAAATTCAATGAATTAAAGGGGGGGGGGGTGCGGGGATGCGACAAGTGGCCATATATTGCTTATTTAACCTTTCCTGAGTTCGGGAAAAATACTTAAAAAATTCAAAATGTTGAGATGTAACGATAATTAGAGAAACAGAACATGATGTGATGAGACGGGAAAATCAGGTGAAAACGAGGCTGATCACTTTTTTCAGTAGCTTGGTAGCATTTTCTAACCAACTCATTAATATTCAAGACCAGTAATTTTTGGCGAGCAGCTGATCGAAAAATCGTCCCGACGATCGAGCAACTAGCCTAGATACAGTACACTAGTGTGAAGTCGTGAGTTTTTGTGATCATTTACGTACGCAGTTACAGAGAGACGGTTTTGTCAACGTCAATTCAATCATGGAGGAATAATTCAATTGAATTAATAAACGTATATCAGTCCGATGACTTGTTTGTTAATCAGGCCTAGCCTATGCCTAGGAAGCACAGTCAGTGTCTACCCAGCAGCTAAGTAGCGCACTCCTGACCGGGACACTGCTCCAGTCCCGCAGCAGGTGAGTTCGCACGCAGCCTTATCCAGCTGACGGTAAAGTTAGTAGGTTTCTACTACTGTACTAGCCTAGACTTGTCATGCCATGGCGACTTTGTCACATTAATTGTGCTAGTGCATATTTTTTCATAATAGCCTAGGCCCCTAGGCCTACTAATAATACTATAGGCCTAGCTATATAGGCCTGGTCCTATGAAAAACTATCTAGGCCTAGGCCTAGATGTCTAAATAAAGGTGATGTGCTATAACACTACAGTATATCATCAGACAATAACAATAAGATTATTATTGATATACTGTAGGCCTAGAAGCTAGGCTACACAACAATAAAGCCTCAATAACATGATACATATGTTACTCCAAACCTAACTTTCAGCAGCATATTGATGTCTGGCACAGAATCTAGTGTAGTGACCTTAGAAATAACAAAAAATATAATAAAATATTAGTAATGAGGAAGGACATGTTTATTATAATTTTATTCAAGCCAATTTGAACAAAACAAAATTGCATTGCAAGAGGAAGTATTGACTACTAGTCCAAACACTGGAGTTATTTTATCTTTCAAAATAATATGTGTTTTTATCAGGAAAATCAATGAAGTACATTTTTTAAACCTCTCAAAATATTTCTGATGTTTAAAAAAAGTGGTGTAGACGGTGGTAATATAATCATTTCTATTGGCCTTAAGATGAGTCACATCTAAAAACACAATCTTCTAAAATACTCTCCTAATTCCCATCCTTTAGCTAAGGCAGAGACAACGAAGGCAGTTTCAATGAATTAAGCCCTATGGGTATGCATAGATACAACATAGACAAAAATAATTGTAGACGAGCCGATAACAAAATGATAGATCATGGGTAAAATTGATAAACAAACAGATATATATTAATATACGACTGACTTACCCATGATATCAAGAACTGTCTAGTAAAGGAGTTTGTAGCATGAATTCGATCCCTCAATTCTGGTATAAACCCAATTACATCAAATGCATTACTTTCTGTTACTATATCCTACAAAAATAAATTAGAAACAATGATCACTTGCATACAATCTGCAGTGTTTACTTATACAATTAAATTTAAATGAACACTTATTTATTTCAAAAAACACCACCACCACCACGACATGAAGAAATTAATGATAAGATACAATAGTCTCCTTGGAGGTTAATAGGGGGCTTACGATTTGCATGCCGACTCGAAGCTAGAACAAACTCACTCATGCATGATCGTCCCATGTTCTCTACACAACATAGATTTGGTAAAATTACATCTTAGAATCCATGAGATGAGGAGAAATTAAAGTTTTCGCATGCGCAGATGACTTTTTAGTGACGTCATTACATACTACATCCCACCGCGTTATGCAATCAAAAGCTCGCTAATTATTATAATAGGTAGTTTTCTCCGCACGACGTTAACCTTAACTTTAATGTTAGTACCCAACGTGCAACACGATAGCTCCGCCCCTTTTGTAATAAAATCGAAATATGCATGCGTAAACCCGAAACTAATGTACGTCGACGACGTAAAATCCTGAAATTAACGTTACGTACTCCGCAACATAAGATAAACAAATTATGGCATCATCCGTTAACGTTAAGGTTAACATTGTGCGGCGAAAACTACCTATTTTGTCCTCAAGCACCTTGAGACTTGGGTATAAATCTAGACTACGAAAAATTACAACTATAAATAACATAATTGACTAAGTAAACTCCATACCTTCATTAACCTATCCAATAACTCTGATCCATTTTTGACATTCAAATCTGGATCAGATGCCAACTGTAAAAAAACAAACATAATTCATTACACAAAGTTTTTCAGTAAATGAAACACAAAGAATTACATTTTAATTTTATCAATTCATTAGAGTGTTTATTTGTTTTCAAATTTTTTAAATGCAAGTAGTTAAAATTTCTTGGACCATAGACACTTAAAAAGGGGCTCTGTCACTTTTGGGGTCTCTCTCAGGTATTTTATGTTTGAATAAATAAACAGATGAAAATAATATGGATTAGTCAGTAAAGAAATTGGTGTAAAATATTTGGTACTTCCAAGAACCAACAAGAGCAAATTTATTATATAAAAACAAGGGACCACAAAATGGCAAAGCTATATTGAACTTTGGAATGGAAAAACATTCCTTGTGGGTCTATAAAGTTATTACTTAAATGGAAGTGGCAAAATAAGAAATTTGGAAGACAATGAATAAATCACAGAGCATAGATTCTTACATTTGTAAGTTCACAAAAAACACTGTTGAAATGTTGTAACACAGCTCCTCTTGCAACCTTCACGATGTTGTACAATGCTTCGCATGCATAGTATCTATTCTTACTGTCCTGATCTGACAGACATGTTAAGACAGGGTTGATTAGCTGAGGTAAAAATAACGGAACTTCCTGAGAATAAAAAAAAAAAAACATAATTACCGGTATATAATAAATTAAAAAATTTCAATGTGTTGTTCCTTCCATCTCTTTAATCCCCATTTACACAAAGCATGACAGTGGCACGAGACAATGGCAGAAAAAATTAGAACCTATTATGCTCTTTATACTGAGCATAGAACAACTTACTATTTTCTGAAAAAAAAATTGTTGTGCAACAAAAAATATTCTCACCGATCACAGACTCCGGTCATCCTTCTGAGTATGTAGACTGCAGGAGAACAAGATTCGAAAGTTGTGTGCATCATGGCTGTTGTCGCATGCTGTGTGAATGGATCGCACCCATAACAGAATATTTTTGTCGCTGTTGCGTGCCGCTGTTGCATTCTGTGTAAATAGTTCTTTATTGGATGTTGTATTCCATAAATTATATAAAGTATATCGTATGCAATTTTTTGTTGGAAAGGTGACACATTAAATGTTAAAGAATTGTTAAAATGATAAAGTCAAGAAAACACACACCTTGCCAAGCCCAATGGCAGTTGCAGCTAATCCAATTAATCCCCCTTTTCTGGCATGAGGATTAGAAGACAGGGCAAAATCACGGCTTAGAACATTCACCAGTTTCATTATTTGCTGTGTTGCCCCAGTTTGAGCAAATTCCTTTACAACTCTGAAAACAACAAAAATAAAATAGATTACTCATTTTTGTATCTATGCCCCCCTCGTGGCTGAAGACACGATGTTGTCGTCTGGCAGTCAAAGATGGCTGAAAGGGCAAATCCAGTGGAGGTGCATGATGGGTCATGTGTCATCTTAAGTACTTTATTATGTACAAAAGTCATAAAAAAAAAATACAGTGCCACACATTTCCTGATGATAACCAAAAGCCATGTGGATATTAATATTAGTAAACGTAATACAGTGAATTCGATCCAACTCGGCCACAAGTCAACTCGGCCACAGTCAACTCGGCCACAAGTCAATTCGGCCACAAGTCAACATTTGCAGTAAAAGCAATACCGCCACAAAGTTTTTCTACAAGTACAATAGAACTGCTTGGTGTGACGGTCATGACTTAGACTCTCAACCTTGATTGTGTCCTTTGGCAAGACACTATATACCTAATTTTCGGCAAAATCTGCCTGGAAATTGGCCCTTATTTTCTGAAATGAGCGGATGGATTCTAGGCCTAATTTTTGCATGGAAAATATATTCCCTGCACTGCCTTACTATTCTTTACAGAGTAGCTTTTTTATTCTTATTTATTACTCTTACTACTACTACTACTGCGACTATTATTATTATTATCATTATTAAATTATTTTATTACTTTCACTTTTGAGAGAAATATAATATCTATGCAATTTTACATTTTCTCTTGTTTGTACATAGGCCTACAGTAATAATTGACATTCTTTTTTATTTTCACTTTCACTTGCCTAATATAGATAGGCCTAGGCTAATAATAATAAAATTACAATAACACGTCTTACATGTATGTGACGTTATGGAGGAATATTAAATTTATTATTAGCCTAGGCCTATGTGGTAATCCCATAGGCCTAGATAGTTTTTCGGAAGCGCTGCTAGGCCTAATAATAATAATAATAAAGACATTAAAGCGCACATCTCCACCAAAAGGTGCCTAGAGGCGCATGGCCCCTCTAGGCTAGGCCTATATGGCAAGATAAAGCTAAGAGCCAGAGTAGCCACTTCCTAGCCATTTGTTGACTAGACCTAGGCCTAGACCATGGAAGAGGGAAATAGGCTAGACTAGGCCTAGGCCTTGGCTTGGACTACCATAGAGGTTAAAAACTACCTACGCAGCGGCCCCCTACCCGAGCCGAGCTAGGCCTAGAGTAGTAGGTAGGACTCAGCACGGAACAGTATCGCACCTTTCTATTTCTAGAGCAGCAGCCTTCCTCTTTTCATAAATCTTGTCATTAAGAGCCCGAGCACAAGCGGGGGTTAATGGTGATTGATCCCAAATTTTGTCTGTCATTTCGGATTCAGAATTTTTACAATCTTCTTCGTCTGATAACCAAAAAAAACTTCTTCCTCTCTCACACCAGGACTCAACGAAATTTGGCGTTATGAAGGTTACCTATATTATTATTAAAATGTAACTCTTTTGGTTTTGCATCTTAATAGTTTCCTATATAAACTACATCAAAATTAATTGCGGCAAATATTTATTTTATATGTTAACGCCCTCAACGATGAACATTTAGTGTATATTCTCACAATAACGGAAATTACCGTACTGCAATGAACGTAGATAAGAAATAAATATTTTGTGTATCTATTGTGTGTGATCTTCAAAATTAGTTTTGTTTGGGGGCGGTTGTTTGAGAGAGAGCTCCCAGATAAATTCTACGATGACTCAAAATTTATTTTTAATTTGCAAGATGTCGGTCAAGATTGGCCATCATTTTCCATTCTAATAAGATATTGTCTTGTGACTGTTTTTGGTGGTGAGTCTAATATATTCTTCAATAGAGTGTGATATACAATACATATAGTTCTGATGCATTTTAATTTACATTTGCGAAGTGTTCTGTCGTATTCTGATTCGTGCAATGAAAAGGCTTTTTACTGGACTGGATGGATGCTGCTAGCCTAGGCCCAGGGCATAGCCTGACTAGCCTAGCCACTGACTGCTGTAAGGCCAGGCCTAGGTAGGTAGGAGGTATACAGAGTAGTAATGGGGCCCAGTGAGTGTCGTGGAGAAGGAAGCTAGGCCTAAGCTGGACTATTCCCTAGCTAGCTACCTACCGGAACCCTTAATTCAGACCTCCATCCGAGGACCATCCTGTAGCTAGGCCTAGGCCTTTAGGGCCAGGCCTAGCCTAGCTAAATACCTAGCTTGCCTAGGCTTACAAACAATACTAGGTTAGGCCTGGATTTAATTACCATGAACATGATGAACCATGGATCACATCACATCAGTGCAAAGGGAAGGGGGGGGGGAGGGGAGGGGAGAGGCTGGAGGCTGTACAGTACTATAGCAAGATGCAAACTTGTCACTTGTGAAGACAGGTTTTCTTTGTACAATCAACCATGCGTGATAAACTATCAATAAATATTAATAATAATAATAATAATACTGTAATTTAATTTAGTCTAACATTTTACAGGATCTCATGTGAGAGACTGTCACTGTCAGGGATGGTTGATCAGTACCCGGTGTAGGGATAGAGTTTTACTAGGCTTAGGCCCAAATGAATTGATGAATGTCATAAATTTCCGAACATCATTCAGTAAGTATTTTTGTGCATATGTTAAACACTGTTTTGTTTACTTCGGTTTGCGCATGTAATTACAAAATTGGTGTGCAGCTGCTGCCATGTGTCCGGAGTTCTCATGGTGCACAGCCAGTCACTGATGAAGCAAAACAACTCATTGGGTACTTGACAAAAGCTGGTTATATGGTAGCTAAAAGATTACGCCCTAGGCCAATGTTTAAGTAAAGTTTTCACAAAAGACGCATTGTGAAAGAAATTGAGTTTGTGATGTGGAAATGTTTGTTTTTCAAAATTAATATTTAACATTTTTAATGCTGTTTTCTTTTTAAATTAAGATTAATTTATAATTTCCACAAAATTTCTCTTTCCATGCAGGGTTGCATACGATAAAACTTTTTTAATTTTTTTAAATTTTTTATTTTTTTAAACTGAAGTACTGTAGTGGCTGCGTAGTTGGCAGTGTCTACTTTTATTAAAAGTAGACACTACCAACCACGCAGCCATTACAGTATTTCAGTGTCACAAACTTTTAAAAATTAGAAAATCACAGAAGCCCCAATTTTGTTTTGATTGACAATAGATGAAGTCTTTGTGGAAAAGGCTAATCATTTTGTGGGACTATCTACCATAAATACTACCTGTAGGGAAATGAACACTGAGACAGTTTCGGCTTTGATTTTCTAAAATATTGTTAACTTCGATTGTTTTAATTTTGCTTGCTGATCTGGATATTAACGCTCTAGTGTGAACCTATCTGTAACCAATAAACCAGAAATGTTGCTTGAATCATATGATGCTTGCAATACCATGACCCACAATGCCAGTCGCACACTCAACATTTTCAGAACTTTCAAAATCACCCGGTTGATTGTTGAACTGCCTACAACACTCCTAGCACAGGTATTGTACAATATGCCTCTAGTGTAGTTGGTAGATTACTTTCTGGGTATTTAAATGTGGTTTATTTTTTTGTAAAAGGATTTCTTCCCCCTCCCCCCCCACTTTTTTTTTTTGCAGAGAGAGAGAGAGCCCTTAACCTTTATCATTATTTGTGTTTATGCATTTTGTGTGTTACAAAAAGGTCAAGCCTTGGTCCTGTGTGGAGTCAAAAGGGCAAAAACCTCATAGACAAATTGAGGTCATTGAAGCAACTTGTAAGGTTTTGAGAATTGCTCTCAATCAGTAGATAAATTTAATAGTTTCTATAAATTGGCTTCTTTGACAAGTAATTTTTGAATAAATTATTCAGTAATAGGCCTGTGATGTACAGTACAGTATACTTTGTATTAAAGTATACGGTATTCAAATCTTTTAACTGGTCATGAGGGTGTGTCACAGTCAAATTTTGTGTCACACACAAATTAATGAAACAATTCTTTTATCAATTGGGGTCATTGAATTGAAGCAATTGTAAGGTTTAGAGAATTTTATTCAATCATTAGCTACTGATTTCAGTTTCTATACTCAGCTTCTTCAATTAGTAATGTTTATTTTTAGATGAAAATCACAATTCTTTAATTACGAGGTCAGGTCGTACCTGTACATTATTCAGTATTGTGGTGTAGTTTGTCACTTACAGTAGGCCTACTTTACGTATTCACACTCAAATTTATCTAGGGACTAAAATACTGTGACGTTTGCACAAATAATTATTGATTTCATAGCTTTTAATGTGGAAATAGATTTTGGACTTTAGCCATCCTTTGTAATAATTAATGATAATTATCATTGATAATTTTTTTATTGTTCTCATTATGGAACATTGTAGGTATGGTAGGTATTTCCATATTTTTAATTAAGACTATAAAATGATGCATCGTGGTATGGACGTGAAATTACAAAAAGAAAATTTAAATGAACTGAGCTGAGCCTTTGGATGAGAGGTAGGTCTAATGATTGTGCTTCCTGCCCCATAGGCCCCGGTTTAAACCCCACGAATGTTCATTTGTAAACGGTCTATTCACATGGATACTGAAATAACCCTTGTTAAGGTTTGCTGTATATATTGTGTCTGTCCATTTCATTTTGCAGTTTAAGTGGCGCTGCACTGTGGCTGGGCCCAGTTGTCCTCATGGGCCCAGTTCAAATGTTTAAGTTGAATGAGAAAATAAATTTTTAAGTTGAATGAGAAAATTAAGAAGAAAAGAAAAAAGAAAAATGAAAATTTGATGATTAACAACATTTTTTTTTAAAAAAAAAATTTTTTTTATTTTTTTTTTTTTTTTTTTTTTTTTTTTTTTTTGCAGTTTAAAGTAATGCAGTATTTCTGTCATTTAGCCAAACTTTAAACCATGACAAAAGATAAATATTTTTGACTTAAAACTTGGTTATTGGCCAACTGTATTGAGTGGAGTAGGTCCTACAGTAATATCGGTCTCTTTTATTGTTTTACCTTGCACTTATTATTATAGTAAATGCAATAAATTAAAACCTGTTCAAGAATTTTAAAATTAAAGAATGTAGTTTTTGTGAACTATTCAGATCTTTGTGTATTTTAAACTTACAGAGTGAAAAATTGTTGGTGAATTGTTAATTTTCCCACTGTTTTACAGTCATACCCATGTAAGAGCAAACCAAAATAAGTGTCTGGTATTCCATACACTGTGTGTATTTCTCAGCAGGCAACTCTTTATGCCCACACTCGCGGTTCTAACTTCTCGGGACACTCTAAAAATATCTGATCTAATTTTCTACGAGCATGACTAGGTTGTTATTGGTTTAATATTGCATTGAAGAGGTGAGTGATGATTAGGCCCCAGGCCACTGCAGTTCCCTACAGGACCGTTATTAACTCCAAATTTCCAGGGTAGAATATTTAGCATTGCATATCTTAGGCAACGTACATTAGACCTACAATACTGTAGCTCTGAGAGTTGAGCGAAGAAGCTTACCTTTATTTTATTGATTATAAGCTGTTAAAAGGTAATATTAGGCCGAGTGATCATTTTTTGATCATATGTTAATGAAAATGTGTTGATTTATGCAAACCTGCACATACCGCCTAGACTTTACCATAATACCTAAACTATTTAAATAAAAAGGATTGGATTCATCGCTAGCCACCAAGCACACATTATTCGGTGGTTTAGTTTTTAAGACATCAGGTTAGTTACTTGGAGGTCATGGGTTTGATTCCCACCTGAATCACTTGTGAGATTCTTTTCGCAAGTGTTTGGAAATGTCCTAAGCATTCAGTACTTACAACACGTCAGGTAGGGCAAACGTCATTTTGTATTATTTCTCTAGACGCAAAATACCATCGGAATATTTAAATAAACTAATCAAATTAAGAAAAATATTTACAGAAGAGAAAGTTTAAAAAAAAATTGTTGTCTTTACATGCTTTACTCTGCTTCATTGACACAAAACGCCATCGGAATATTTAAATAAACTAATCAAATTAAGAAAAATATTTACAGAAGGGAAAGTTTTCAGAAAAACTGTCGTCTTTACTCTGCCTCATTGTAGTCTTTGCTGTCAAAGCCAAAAAGCCAATTCCAAATATAAAGCTGAATTTTGCTAAATGTTTCCATTCAAAATAAGCCAAAAGCTAATGGAATTAAAGCTATCATAGCTTTCTTTTTTTTTTTTTTTTTTTGGCTCATCAAATTTCTATTTGGTTAATTATTTTCATACTGAATTAGCCAAATTGCTGAATATTTTTCGGGGCCATCTTAAAACCTGCATGTGACAATAATAAATGGAACTCTTTTTAAAATGAAAAAAATCATTGTTGTACTGTACTTTAAGTTTCTATATAGTAGCATCCTGTTTAATAGGATCATGCCATGCATTATAGTCTGTTAGAATATACATAGTTTAATTTGTAAGCCTTGCATTCCTGGAAACTGGTTAAAGGTAGCTGCTTTAATACCACCCAGAGGCCTATGTATTTTCACTTCTGCAGAACTCCTTGCATCAAATATTACTGAGTAAAATCATTCTCTTGGGCATTCATCTCAAAAGTCAATTGCTTTCTCCAGGCCTCCTGTGGTAAAAATAAATTAAATAATTTGAATGCATTGGTGTACAATCTATTTTGCTGCGCTTTTTGCTAATAGTAATTACCGACTTGTCAACTGTAACATTTTCAATGGTAATATATATATTTTCAAGATCAATAGAATTGATTAGATAGTGGTATTTATATAGCATTCATGAGCCCACTCTTGATGTTCGTTTCTCTAACAAACTTGTCACCTTTGACCTGTAAGTGTATACTATGTTTAGTTTGCCGGGTTTTTGGTATTTATTTTTAGAACCCGTCATAAGATTTGTATGCGCATCAATGTAGGAAATTGTCAAGGTGCTCTAAATGAAAAAAAAAATGCAGAGGAAGTGTCTGAAAACTTCAGAAATGTATGCCTAAATTGTCATTCTACAGTATGCTTCCAGTAAATGTAAACATCCTTAATTACTATCTTGTTATTGGT